GTGGTGCTGTGGCTCAAGTGGTAGAGTGCTAGCCTTGAGCTGAAGAGCTGAGGGATAGCACCCAGGCCCAGAGTTCAGGCCCCACAACTGGACCCAAAAAAAAAAAAAAAAAATAAAAGCAAGAGCAGCCACCAGTGGTTGGAATTTTTGAGCTGGTCTGAGATTGAAGTGGACTGGGTGTTTGTTGAGCTAGTCCAGCTGCTTCCCTCTTATCTGGTAGAGACATCAGTAACTCTTTGATCTAGTGACTATAAATTGGTACCTGGAGAGCTACTAGGCTATGCCGTTTGTTTTTGTTGGTTGTGGGCTTGAACTCAGGGCCTGGGCGTTGTCCCTGAGCTTTTGTTCTCAAGGCTAGTGCTCTACCACTTGAGCCAAAGCACCAATAGGAAGTAAAAGATTAGATTTTGACAGATCTGAATTTGTTACTTAAACCAGGCCTACAGCAATGAGAGAAGCTGCTGTTTTGGACTTTGTGCCTAAAACTTACTTATTTTCTTCACCTCACTGTGGTCTGGTCCTGTAGTCTGCTTTAAACTTACCTTGGTAGGGGGTGAGGTGGGGAGGGGGCTTGAACTCTGAGCCTGGGTGCTGTCCTTTAGCTTCTTTGCTCAAGGCTAGTACTCTACCACTCTAACCACAGCTCCACTTCCAGCTCTTTGGTGGTTAATTGGAGCTAAGAGTCTCCCAGTCTTTGTTGTCCTGGCTGGCTTTGAGCTACAATCCTCAAATCTCAGGGTCTTGAATAGCTAGGGTTATAATAGGCTTGACACACTCAGCCTGAAACCCACCCTTTCATTGTGCAAAAGGAAAGGACAAGGCAAGGTGTGAACAGGCATTGGGATTGTTTTACGAAGCCAACAATGAAATGAAGCAGACCTGGCAACTTGGATCTCATCCCTCCACCCGCTAAACTCCGCACAGCGATACTCTCCCACCCCATCCTACACTTACTGTACCAGCTGCTCCATGGATAGTCCCTACCCATTTGAAAAGGTTGTCTGATTCAGGGAAGGCAGAAATTCCTTTGTCACCAGACATCTGGAGGAAGAAATACAACAAATCCGGTGTCATCACAGCCTGAGCCCAAATAAAGCAACCCACTGACAGTCTCATCACCAGACGAAGGAGAAAGGGGTTGTGTGGGGACACAGAAGGCAGCCGGGCACCCATAATCTTATGGGGTGTCAGGAATTCAATTATACCATATGGCACTGAAGGATTTGTACTTAATTTAGGGATAATTCAGCAAAAGATGATTAGGAAGCAAAGATTTCAACACCAAGAAAGCAAGGAATTGGTCATGGGTGAAACTTGGGGTTAGGAAGCCAGGGTGGACAGGGCAGGGCAGGCTTAGGATGACTTCCGGGAACCGTTCTAGAAAGAGCTTCATGGGGGGAGGGGATGGAAGGAACTGGGGGTAGAGACTGTTTAGGTATGGGTGGGAGGAGGAGTGATTTCTCAGAATTGAGTAAATTATACTGACTTTCCCACCCCTATGTCTAGCAGGGAGCCTGATGTAGGAAAATAGGGTGCTGATAATTGGGTGAAAGGTGGGAGGATGGATCAATTGAGATCTGAGAAAACTGGGCCACTCACCATGAGGGTCATCAGCTCCTGCTGTAGCCTGCAAAGAGAACTGAGGGTCACCTGGGAGTCTGTGGTGGTCAGGTGGGGCACCTCCGTCCCCCCGAATCTCTCCTAAGGGACTGTCGGAGGCGCTCCCTTTTCCAAGGTCACACTCCTGTGCGGGGGACCCCGAGTGCACTGTCCCCCTCCCCAGTTCCTGGGGCCTCCTCGGCTCCCCGGTGTCCTCCGGCGTCTTCCGGGGGGACCCCGGCAGCGTCTCCACCTTTCCGCGCTCCCCGAGCGTCCCTCGGTCCGCACCACTCACCGCTTGCCCACTGGGCCCCGGGCGGCGCCCCCGCTCGGCTCGGCTCCTTTGCGGGAGGCGGCGACGCTGGCGGCGGCTGGGTCGCGGTTTTGGGAGGCCATCGGGGCGGCGCTGGCAAAGAGACAGAAAGTCCACACCGGGGAAACTGCGGGGCTGCGGGCCGCCCGCCCGCGTTTGAATCGTAACCCTCCGGCAGCGTCAACCAATCGCAGGCTCGCTTGGGTTTGATCCAGCCAATGCGAGAGCCCCGTTGCCGCGCAGCTGCTGGGCCACCCACCGGTGCGCCGCCATTGGGCGGTGCGGGCCTACTGCGGGCCCCCGATTGGAAAGAGCTGCTGCCATTAACTAGCGAGGTGCAGCGGATAGGTGGCCTTTGGAAGACGCCGACCATTAAAGGGCCTAGAAACCACCCACGTGCTCCTGAAGGCCCAAGGTCGTGCTATCTTCAGGCTCCTGGCACGCCCTGCCTAGATCACTTCTTCCTGGAAAGGGAGCCTCCCTAATCTGGCAGCACTGAAGTCCCAAACCAGAAGCTTAGCTCCTCTCCATATTCCAAGGGCTCTGGTATCTATGTTAGGGTCCCAAGTATCTGGATGGGTAGGGGGTGATGATCAGAGCAGTAGACCCCCTATCATCCCTCTCCAACCGGTTTACTTTATGACTGATCAGGTCAGCTAGTGCTTTAACCTGTAAAATGGGGTAATAACAAACAGTGGCAGGCGCTGGGTGGCTCACACCTGTAATCATAGCTACTCAGGAGGCTGAGATCTGAGCTCGCGGTTCAAAGCCAGCCTGGGCAAGAAAGTCCATGAGACTTACCTCCAGTTAATTACTAGGAAACTGGAAGTGAAGCCGTGGCTCAAAGTGGTAGGATGCTAGCTTGAGCTAAAGAGCTCAGGGACAGCACCCAGGTCCTGAGTTCGAGCCCCATGACTAACAACAACAACAAAAAGCAAACAGAGACTTTCCTTTGATCTGTCATCAAATCTCCAGGGAACATCCCTGTCCTTCATGGTGTTCCCAGCTTGGATCCCTAAAGCCTGGGTCTATGAGATGGGGGGGAAGGGGGGAGGGCATCTGCTTCTGGAATCCTTGATGTTCTGTCAGCCCCCACAAGGTAGGTGGTAGAGCAGGCTCACTAAGGACATTTATTAAAAACTGTTTAATTGCTTCTTATTCCAATAACTTTACAAATATCAAACCAATTTGCCAGTCCTGGGATGCTCTACAAACTCGCCCATGCACAGCTCAACGCTGCTGAGATCCATTGAGAAGCAGTCTCAGGAATGGCCTCAGCCATGCTGGGTGAAGAGGGTCTCGGAGGTGCTGCCCAGTGTACACAGGAGACCCCTCAGGTCTGTGGAGGCGCTTCAACAGCACGATGCTCATTCTCTGTCCGTAGTGTCTCCATGTACTTTCGCATCTTCTCAACCATCCAGGAGGGTAGGACAAAAGATTTTAGCTCCTCTAACTTCAAGTCCAGGCACCCTCTAGAACAGGCATTGGAATGGAAGTTAAGGACAAGGAAGGAAGTAGGCCCAGTCTCGTCCCAGGGGCAGAGAGTGGTTCGTGTAAGGGGCAGGAGGTTCACTGGCTTTACCTGTAGTCATCGCTGGCAGCAAGGTCACGGATGTCCTCCTCAATGAGAAGGTAGGCCTGCAGTGGGAGCAAGGGAGAGGGGTCACTGCTCCTCATTCATTGCAGTCCAGACTTTCTTAAAGATCTGTTTTAAGTAAGGCTACTTACTTTAGGTAGGAGAGAGATGTTTAGCAGGGAAGAGTAAGGTAGAGAGAAACTTGGGAATACTTCCTTGAGAAAAATCTTTTATTTAAATAGCAACCTATGGGAGAGATAGCAGGGACTGCCTCTGAACCTTGATTCTCAAATCTCAGCTTCCTGCATAGCTAGAATTACAAGTGTGAGCTAAGGGCTCCTGGCCAACCCCCCCATATCAGGGCCTGAACAGAAGGCCTCAAGCTGTCTGGGCTTGCTTTTGCTTGCTCATGATTGGCACTCTTACCACAGAGCCACACCTCCAGCCACACCTTTCTAATTTATGTTGTTTTTCATGTTATCAGTGGTAAGCTCCTGAAATATTTTGTAAAATAGATAAAGCACGGACATAGAGTAATAAAGTAATGAGAGAGAGCTCTCACTGCCAGTTTGCAAGGCCATTAGGTGACATGTGGAGCAGTTATAGCAGTAGGGTGAGTCCTTGGGTGGGAAAGCCCTCCGTGGCAATTTTGGAACACATGCCTTAGAAAATATGTGTTTCCTACGGTTGCTAAGAGCTGGGGAAGTACAAGTGAGTGTGGGAGGCGCTGCCATGCATAGCAAACGCACTCCACCGCACATGCGGACTCCTATCGACAAGGGGCAACCTGCAGAACTGTGTTGAGAAAAGAGTCTACAGCTGTGTCAGAAGAAGAGCGCTGCCATCAGTGGGTAAACTATGCATGGTCCATGAAGGAAAAGTAGCATTAAATGTAACTGCCATGCCAGCTAATGCAATGCAGAGATGTGGTTTTGGGGAAATGAGGAGGGAGGGTGAGGAGAGAGCGGAAGCTGTAGACATGGGAAACTGAAATCTGTGGATTTCAATGTTCTCTATAGAATAAAGCAATGGCTTCCACAAAATTCCCTTCTTACATTCTTTGGGCTTAGAGGTTCCCAGATTTCAAAGTGAACTGTCACCAACAACCAGAATCCTTGTCCATGGGCTGGGTGGGTCCCTGGCAGTGGTACATATGAAAAGTGCTTACCATCTTCCCGCCGGTTGCCCGCATATGATGCTGCTCAGCCAGCCAGTGCTTGTCCTGGGGGTCAGCTGCATACTGTGAGGGATGAAGTCACCAGCAAACATTAGCCTGGCGGGAGGGGCTTTCCTCTTGGTAAGAACCAAACTGTGTCCTACCCTGGCAGATGCAGAGGGCTCACTGATCTCTACAGAGCAAGCCGAGTAGAGCCCAGGGGAACAGGACTCTGACACGATTCCCAGAGATGCGATATACTTCTATTCCCAACCCCTTCATTCCTTAAAACATACCATCTCTGGCAATTAGTGGGACTGGTTAATTAGGATTTCAGCCTTCCTTCCTTGCCTCCCTCCCTCCTTTTTGAAGCACTTGGGAACCTGCACAGAAAGTGGCAGATCTAGCCTCTAATGCTGGAACCACAAAATTGGCTGTGTGGTTCTGGCAAGGGGCACCAACCCTGATGCATAGATGCAAAACATTACTGTGCATTACTGTTATCATTTAGATGCTTTTGTGACTGATAAAACAGACATTCATCTAAGTGGGGAATAGAAATTTAAAACTTAAATTTAATAATAGGAATTTTCAAACAGTAGCTCTTCAAACTGTGTTTGGGACACAATGTGTGGGAAATAGCTGTTAGTACTAAGGTACAGAAGTGTTGAGTACATCATGAAAGGTAAACATGTGAGGTAGAAGAGTGACTAGAACCTGGCACTCACCCACCTTAAAGAGGTGTGGGTGCTTGATGTAAATTCTTCCTCTGGTGCCCCCCATCCCCAAGGCCCTACAAAGTAAAAAACAAAATGGTAAGGGGCAGCGCCAAGTAGTGGACCCTTGACCTGTCCCCTCCATCAGCACTGAAGCTCACTGGCTTACTTGTTGGCTCGGGATCCCAATACAAAGGTTGTAGATTCATTCAGCCGAGCTGGGTCCCACTGTGCAAAAACAGAGGCTGGTGAGGCTGAGGTTTAATGGTGGAGGCTAGAATCATTCCTGACCTTTTCCCATCATCATCTGTATACATTACTCATCAGTTTATTCAGGACACAGAGTATTTGCGACATGCTAGGCTCTGTGCTAGACGCTGCGGATAAAGATAAGGTGCAGTCTGTGTTTTCCACGAGCCCCAGACATAGATATGACCAGACCACTGTGCCAGGGGGCAATGACAAGGCTGAGTGCAGGGTGGGAGAAGGGCCAAACGGGATGGCACAGCCAGGAAGTCTCCCTTGAAGATGACGAAGGCAGCAGTGAGAAGCAGGAGGAAGGAGGAATTGCAATGTATCTGGGAGGCGGAATCACTGAGGACTTGCTTGGGTACAGGGAGGTAGGGAAAGGAACTGGCAAAGATGATTAAGGTAAGGAGTAGAAAAGGTCTCTAAAGAAAGATTCTGACTTTAGTTCTGGACCCTGCTGTGTTTGAAATGCCTGTGGAACTTATAGGCAGAGAGGTCTAGCAGATAGGAAGAGACATAAGGTTTAAAGCACAGAAGTGTGTGATAAAGACTAAGGAGCTGCAGCAGCATGTGGCAGTCCTCAAAACCATAAAGTGGATTGTTGAGATCGCTCAGAGAAGCTTTAAGGGAACTAGGTTAAAGAGAGAATTCTGGTGAGCACCTATTACATGAGTCATTGCTGAGGAAGAAAAACTCACAAGACAAAGAAGGAAAGTTTGGATAGAACAGAAGGATCCAGGAAAACGGTCACCAGCTTAAAGGCAGAAGTTTAAGAAGAAAAGCACAATGACCAGAGAAGGCTAGAGGGCAAGAGGTGGCCCTGACATCTTCTGGACATAATTCCAGTGACAGGGTCCTTTTATCTACTTTACTGGGCTTCACACAAGGCAGTTATTTGAGGAGTGTGTTCTGACTGTTAAAAAGAGCTTGCAAATGATTGTTGTGCATGCAACAGAGCTTAATGGTGTCAACAAACTTTGGGTCTGAGATATGGCTCTGTCACTTCCCAGTCTCAAGTGTGTGGAGGGTGTAAGACAACTACAGAAAATGAGGTAAGTTTTGCCTGTAGGGGTGATTATCTCAACTAAAGAACAGGAATAGAATCAAATTAACTTTGTTACAAAGATTAAGTGAGAAAAATCCATATAGGACAGTTCCTGTCATATATTAACTAATGAGTAAAGTGTTAGTAAATCAAAGGCCTCAGCTCTCAGTAGACATTTTGTTAGGAAAGCGCTATGTCACTGGGCTACATCTCCAGCTGGGCTCTTGGTTTTCTGTCTCATTGTAATTCCTACACGTTATCCTCTCTGGAGGCAGGGTAGCTGGAGGAAGATAGGGAAAATGGCTCTGGAATAGTGTGAACACATCCTGTACCTCCCCAACTGCTTTCCCTGGTGGGGAGGCCCCAGAGCCTTAGTTGTCTCTTTGAGGTAACAGTCACTGCCATGATCATAGAAGCATACCTTGGGGCCTTCTCGGCGAATTGGTTC